GGTGGTTCTAATTACATAGTAAGTACAAATTTATTTAATTTATTGCTGTAGTGCTGTAGAATAAGCACTGGACCATGAGGTCTGTTTGAACTGCAAGGTCAGCAGTTCAAATTAATCAGCTGCTCCTCAGAAACCTTCTACAGCAGGGGTGGGGAATCTTCTTCCTGCCTAGGCCCATTTGGATATTTATAACATCATTCATAGGCCATACAAAATTACCAACTTAAAAATTAGCCTACTTATAATGTGATAGCTGGAACTGAAGTTGCCTTGGCAGAGCCAGAACAAATGATTTCGCTGCTGGAATATACGGGGTCACTATGAGTCAGAACTGACTAGATGACATTTAACAAGAACAATTATTAAGTTTAAGCAATAGTTACCATACTTGAAAAAATTATTGATTTGAAAATTGTGTCAATTGACATTGAAAGTTGGGTTCTCTTACATTGCAGTGCCTCAATTTGAAACTACATGTAGTTACGTGGAAGCTACACTTGAAGAGTTTCTTAACTGGAATGATGACCAGTCTAGTGGTTCTGGACCATTTGGAGATTATGATCATTCCCAATTCTGGGCTTATGCTGACTATAAATATTTTGTCAACCTGTTTGAAAACAAGACAGATGTTTTCCAGGTAAGTCACTAAGTCAATATGCTACTTTTAAACTTGGTAATAACTTGCTCTTGAGAAAAGACCATAAATTACACTATTCCTTGTACCCTTTTTACTTCCTTGCCTTTTTTGCTCATAAGTAATCACTGAGTCTTTTTATTTTTAACTTTTCATTGTGAATTGAGTGAAGGTTTACAGAGCAGATCATCAGTTTTACATTCAACAAATCATATACTTTGCTTCATTGCATGATTGTAATCCCCTCCATGTACCAACAGTCAACAGCATTTACCTCTGTTCACTTTAACTGTTCCATTCTCCCTGTATCTCCTGATACCTTCATCTTTCCTCTGCTAACTTCCTTCTTGCTGTAAATTGTCTGCCCTATCACCCATGCTACCTTCTAGCCCATGAATAATTTACTCTCTCCCCCACCCTCAACCATCATAGGTTTTTTCTTTTATGAAGAAAACCTTTTTTAATTTTTTTGTAACTTTTTACAGCATTGGTCTCATACACTGTCCTTTTGTGATTGACTGATTTCATTCAGCATAATGTCCTCCAGGTTCAACCACGTTGTGAGGTATTTTACAGATTCATCATTATTCTTCAACATTTTGTAGTATTCCATTGTGTGTATGTACCAAAGTTTGTTCAGGCATTCTTGTGTTGATGGGCATTTAGGCTGTCTCCATCTTTTTGATACATCTCTTGTATACAACATATCGAAGAATTCTGCTATATATGTCTCTGAATTGGAACATTTAATCTGTTCAGTGTACTATCAATAGGCATGAATTCATTGTTGTCATTTTTCTTTGTATTTTTTTTTGTGGTGCTACTGGATTCTTTGTTCCACATAATTTTCTATTTGTTTGTGGGTTTTCTTGTCATTTTCATTTCTATTGTGTTAATGTTTCCTAAATCTTTCTGATTTTCCTCAGTTTTTATTTTGATGTGCAAGTGTATTATTTTTCTTTGAGACTACCCTATAATTTATTAATTTTTTACCCTGCTTAAAACAGTCTATTTTATCTTGAAATCTACTTGACTTCCTTACCATTTGGAAGTTCTGTATCTACACTATTCCTTCTTCTTGCTGTGTAGTTGACTTCATTATACTTTTTTATCTCTGGTTCCCTATTTTCAAAAAAAAATTTAAAGTTTGTTTTACTTTAAATCCTTCTATATCTGAATGGAGTTCTGGGTAAGTGCTGTCATGTATGGTAATCTCAGGCTGTTGTCTACTGGTGGTGGTTCTCAGTCTAAAGAACACCCTTTAATATTTTTTGTGAAGTTTGTCTAGTCATTACAAATCCCTTTCATTATTGTTTATCTGGAAGTGTCCTAATTTCACCGTTGCATTTGAGGAACAACTTTGCTGGGTATATGATTCTTGGTTAGCAGTCTTTTTCTTTCTGAGTTTTATATCGGTCATTCCGTTGCCTTCTTGCCTGCATGGTTCCTGCTGAGAAACCAGAGCTTAGTCTTACTGTCCTTTGTAGGTAACTTTTCGTTTTTCCCAATCTGCTCCCAGGATTCTTTCCTTGTCTTTAATTTTGGAAAGTTTGATGATGATTTTATTTTGGGATATGTCTTGTTTGGCATTCATTCAGCTTCTTGTATGCTTAGCTTCTTGTCTTTCATGATGTTAGGGAAGTTTTCTACCAACAACTTTTCGACAGTTCTCTCTGTGCTTGTTTCTTTCTGCTCTGGAATTCCCATCACCCATAAGTGGTTTCTCTTCCTGGTGTCCTACATAAATCTTAGTCTTCTTTCATTCTTTTTCTGACTGTTCTTCTAGCATACTAGTATCGAGATATTTATGTTCAGTCTCACTAATTTGGACTTCCATTGGTTCATATGTGCTCCTTTGCTCTTTCAATGTCTGAGATCTTAGTATTAATCTTCTGTATTTCTAATTTCAGGTTTTGAATTGTTTCAAAATTTACGTTTATGTTGTCTATTCTTTGTGTGAATGAAAATTGTTTGTTGTCTCCTGGGCATCGTGGGCTTTGCTGTATTTGTAAAACAAACAGTGCAGTTGTTGGACCTGGAGGGGAGAAATCTCTGGGGGCCTTCTGCAATTCAAGGAGCTCACAAAGTGACTGTGGAAGGGTTGTGACAGCAGAGTTCCTCGCTCTAGAGGAAGTTCCCATCCACCTCGGTGTTACCTATATTCAGAGCACTCAATCCGTAAGTAGTTCGAGGGGACCCTTGGTAGGGCTGATTTCAGTGTCTGTTATGACCACAGGGTAGTTGGGGGCAGAGTGATTTGTTTAATGTTGTTCCAGTGGCTCTGAGGGTTTTATTGGTCTGGAGCCAAGCCCACCTGAATCTAGGCACCAAATTGGCACACCAAAGCAGCAAAGCCAGCCCCCACCTCATGCTGGCATTGCTACCTACCACACAGCTCTGGGCTCCTGGAGAGCAGGGTCTATGCTGGGAGTGAATGAGGGTGGGAGCTGACCACACCTCTGGTCACTAGTGGAATGTGTGGGAAACAAAGAAATGGCACCTTTCCTGTGGCGTGTGTGCATCTGCTCTGCCAGGCCTCCCTCTGCAGCCAAAGCTGCTCACAAGATGGTGGAGCTGCGTCTGGCCAGCCACTCACCAGTCAGTGTCTCGCTTTCACTATCCCTGGTCACCTCTCCCCCCAGCAAGGACTCCATCCACGTCTCTAACATTTCTTCTGAAATTCAGGGTGCCAGAAATTTCGTCTGTGCCAGTTTATGTTGTCTTTCATATCTTCGTTGTAGAGGGTCTGTGTAGTGCATCTGCCTAGTCACTTGAGAGTCTTGAGTACTTGTATTTTTCCCACTCAGCCAAAAGATTTGTGCTTGCCAGGATCGGGCAGTGTTTCGTTCTGCTGTGCATAAGGTTACTATGAGTCGGTACCGACTCGATGGCACCTAACAACAACAACAACAATAGAAGTATAATGTTTTGCTCACATGCATGAGCAGCCTTCCCACCAACATTTTCATACTCACCAAACCTCCTACACTTCCTCCTTTACCTTTAAATAGCATCTGATCTAATCTGGAGTCTGTTGAAGTATAGGTTGTGTATAATGAAACTTTCCTCCTGTCCTACATACAGTTCTTGTTCTATCAATGAGTCAAACAGAGGTACAGATCAGAGGATTACAAGAAGCATTCCTAGGACTGTGACCCAAAACACTGCTGTCATCTCTTCCTACTCTGGGGAGTTAGTACAGCCATTTCTCTATTGGTTTATGGCGGAGGCAGAGAGTGCTGAGACAGGAGTAGTAGTGTTCCAAGAATGTGTTGGGATGACTCTCCCTGACCCAGAGTCTGACCAAGGCTCCAGAATCCTTCATCCTGCCCCAAATCCTGCGTAGAGACAAGTATTTCACCACCGCTTCAGGCTAACCACCCCTTGCTCCTCTCCTCCTGTCTGTCAGTCATCATCCCATAGGCTGATTTTTCCTTTGACTCTGAATTGTTCCCCATTCAGTCTATACTTTTCTGTTAGATTTTTAGTCAAATTACAGTTGCTGATAATTGCATGTTGTTGTTGTTGTTGTTAGGTGTCGTCAAGTTGGTTCAGATTCATAGCGACCCTGTATGGGGTTTCCAAGACTGTAGAGCTTTACAGCAGCAGAAAGCCTCATCTTCCTCCCTCGGAGTGGCTGGTGGGTTTGAACCACCGACCTTGTGGTTAGCAGTCCAGTGCATATCCTACAGAGCCACTAGTGTACCTGATGATTGATTATACACAGATATTATAGTACAGCAACCAATACTTATAGATTTCCTTTATTAAATTAAAAAAAAAATTTACTTCAGTTGCTAATTGTTACATTTTATAAAAGAGGAAGAATACATTCCCTTTGCTCCATTGTTTAGTTGAGGATATAATTTTATTTTTATAGCCATAGAGGAAATGTATTAGTATTAAAAACATTTAATAAATGCTTTCTAAATCTAAAGTCTATACTAAATGTATATAATCATTTTTAAATGATAATTTAAAGGTTTTTGTTTTTAGGTGCCATTGTTGTTGTTGTTGTTGTTAAGTGCCGTCGAGTCGGTTCCGACCCATAGCGACCCTGTACAGGGTTTCCGAGGGTGTAAATCTTTACGGGAGTAGAAAGCCTCATCTTTCTCCCGCGGAGCGGCTGGTAGTTTCGAACCGCTGGCCTTAAGGTTCGCAGCCCGATTCGTAACCACTATGCTACCAGAGCTCCTTTAGGTGCCATTAGTCGGTGCTAACTCATAGCGACCTTATGCACAGCAGAACAAAACACTGCCTGATCCTGGGCCAACCTCACTTGTTGTTGTCATGCTTGAGCCCATCGATGCTGCCACTTTGCCGATCCATATCGCTGTGGGTCTTCCTCTTTCTCTCTGACCCTCCACATTACCGAACATGAGGTCCTTTTCCAGTGACTGGTCCCTTCTCACAATATGTCCGAAGTATGAGAAACGAAGTTTGGCCATCTTGGCCTCCAAGGAGCACTCTGGCTGCACTTCTTCCAACATAGATCTGTTGGTTCTTTTGGCAGGTCCTGGCACTTTTCAATATTCTCCTCCAACACCATAACTCAAAAGCATTAATTCTTCTACTGTCTTCCTTATTTACTGTCCAACTTTCACATGCAAATGAGGTTATTGAAAATACCATGGCTTGGGTCCTTAGTCCTCAAACTGACATCTTTGCTCTTCAACACTTTAAAAAGGTCTTGTGCAGCAGATTTGCCCAATGCAATATGTCATTTGAATTCTTGACTGCTGCTTCCATGAGTGTTAATAGTTGATCCAAGAAGAATGAAGTCCTTGACAACTTCAATCTTTTCTCCATTGATAAGGATGTTGTTTATTGGTCCAGTGGTGAGGATTTTTGTTTTCTTTACATAGAGATGCAATCCATACTGAAGGCTATGGTCTTTGATCTTCATCTGTAAATGTTTTAAGTCCTCTTCACTTTCAGCAAGCAAGGTTGTATCATCTGCATATTGCAGGTTGTTAATGTGTTTTCCTCCAATCCTGATGCCA